TCTGGCCACTGCACTCCAGCCTGGGCAACAGAGCGAGACTCTGTCTCAGGGAAAAAAAAAAAGTAATTTCATTTACAATAGCCATACATAAAATTAAGAACCTAGGAATTCACCAAAGAAGTGAAAGATCTCTATAACAAAAACTGTAAAACACTGAATAAAGAAATTGAAGAGGACAAAAAAATGGAAAGATATTCCATGTTCATGGATTGGAAGAACTGATATAGTTAAAATGTCCATACTACCCAAAGCAATCTACAGATTCAATGCAATCCCTATAAAACACCACTGATATTCTTTATAGAAATTTTTAAAAGATCTAAAATTTATATTGAACCACAAAAGACCCAGAATAGCCACAGCTATCCTAAGCAAAAAGAACAAAACTGGAAGAATCATATTATCTGACTTCAAATTATACTACAGAGTTACAGTAATCAAAACAGCATGGTACTGGCACAAAAACACACACACAGACCAATGGAACAGCAAAGAGAATCCAGATACAAATCCACACACCTACGGTGAACTCATTTTTGACAAAGGTGCCAAGAACATACAATGGAGAAAAGGCAGTCTCTTCAACAAATGGTGCCAGGAAAACTGGATATCCATATGCAGAAGAATAAAACCAGACCCCTATCACTAACCACATACAAAAATCAAATCAAAATGGATTAAAGATTTAAATCTAAGACCTCAAACTATGAAACTACTACAAGATAACATTGGGGAAACCTTCCAGGACATTGGTCTCGGCAAACATTTCCTGAGTAATACAAAACAAGGACAGGAAACCAAAGCAAAAATGCACAAATGGGATCACATCAAGTTAAAAAGTATAGGATACAATCAACAAAGTGAAGAGACAACCCACAAAATGAGAGAAAATATCGTCAAACTACTCATCTGAAAAGGGATTAATAACCAGAATATATAAGAAGCTCAGACAACCCTATAGGAAAAAATCTTAATAATCTAATCAAAAATGGGCAAAATATTTGAACAGATATTTCTTAAAAGAAGACATACAAATGGCAAACAGACATGTGAAAAGGTGCTCAATATCAGAGATCATCAGAGAAATGCAAATCAAAACTACAGTGAGATATCATCTCACCCCAGTTAAAATGGCTTATATCCAAGACAGGCAATAACAAATGTTGGCATAGATGTGGAGAAAAGAAAACCCTCATATGCTATTGGTGGGAATGTAAATTAGTACAACCATGATAGAGAACAGTTTGGAGGTTGCTCACAAAACTAAAACAGACCTACCATACAATCCAGCAATTTCACTGCTGGGCACATACCCAAAAGAATGAAAATTAGTATATTGGAAGAGGTATCTGCACTCCCATGTTTGCTGCAGCTCTGTTCAAAATAGCCAAGATTTGGAAGCAACCTAAGTATCCATCAACAGATGAATAGGTAAAGAAAAAAAGATGTGGTACTTATACACAACAGACTACTAATTGGCCATAAAAAAGAATGAGATTCCGTCATTTTGCAGCAACAAGGATGAAACTGGAGGTCATTATTTTAAGTGAAATAAGCCAGGCACAGAAATACAAATATTGCATGTCCTCACTTATTTGTGGGAGCTAAAAATCAAAACAAGTGGACCCATGGAGATAGGGAGTAGAAGGATGATTACCAGAGGCTGGGAGGGGTAGTAAGGGATTGGCGGGAGGCAGGGACGGTTAATGGGTACAAAAAAAAAAGTTAGAATTAATAAGACCTAGTGTTTGATAGCACAACAGGATGACTATAGTCAATAATTTAATTGCTCATTTTTAAATAACTGGAAGAGTATAAGTATATCGTTTGTAACACAAAGGATAAATGTATGAGGTGATAGATACCCCATTTTCCATTATTTCATTAAGAATTGCATGCCTATATCAAAACATCTCATGTACCCCACAAATATATACATCTACTATGTACCCACAAAAATTTAAAAAAATTTTTTAAACCTGCAACTAACATTATATGTAATGATCAAAGACTGAATGTTTTTCCTCCAAAAATGGGAAGAAGGCAAGAACATTTAATCTCACTTCTTATTCAACATGGTGTTGGAAGTTTTAGTTACCACAACAAAATAAGAAAAACAAAAAACATACAGATTAGAAAAGGAAGAAATAAAACTGTTCCCATTTATAATGAGACAATTATCTACATGGAAAAGTCCCAGAAATCTACCAAAAATACTCCTACACCTAATATATGCATTCAGCAATGTTACAGGATACAAGATAAACACACAAAATTCAATGGCATTTGTATATTCAATCGTATTTGTATATTCAACTGTATTTGTATATCCTGACAGTGACTACATGGACATCAACATTAAAAAGACAGTAACATTTACAATCAGTAGAATAAATAAAATACTTACGTATAAACCTAACAAAACATTCACAGGACATGCACGCTGAAGACCACAGGAGAGGGAGATTGGGGATACTATTGAAAGTTGTTTACTATATATATATTTATATATGTTTACATTATAAATATATATATTTATATATATATTTAGAGATGGGGTCTCACTATGTTGCCCAGGCTGGTCTGAACTCGTGGGGTCAAGCAATCTTCTCATCTCAGCTTCCCAAAGTGCTGGGATTACAGGTGTGAGTCACCGTGCCTAGCTACATTATATTTTGAGTACTATATTATTATTTGAAGGTAGACTATGAGAGGTTAAAGATGCATATTATAAAACCTTGAGGTACCACCAAAAACAAAACACTGAGTATAACGGAGAACAAATAGAACCATAAGAAAATACAAAATCCCCCAAATCATGGGGAATGCCATCAATGGCAGAAAACTAAAAACAGGCAAAAATTCCCGTTTTCAAAAAGGAAAAGAGCATACTTCCACAGGGCAGACTGAGGAGCTTAATGTCTATCTAGTACAATGTTTTGGTCACCAAGAGATGTCAAGGTGTGCACATTATACCTATCATATATTAAAACAAATCACCTCATGTAACTTTGACTTTCTTCTTTGACTTCAGAAGGTAGAAAGAGTGTATTTTATTTCAGAAAGTATATGACAGGCTATCTCACAGAAATCCTTGAAACAAGCTGGAAAACATTCCAAAAAATGAAAATGGAGAAAGATTTCAAATGTATACTGCTAGGTTCTTTCTTCAGACCTGCCTGTTTATCATATTAATAACTGACTCAGATAATGTAGATATAACACTCTTCAAATAGGCTGGTGACACAGTCATAAAGCAGTAACAAATATATTAAATAACATAATCCAGATTCAAAAAGATACTGAGAGATTGGACTGTTTAGTTGCGCTCAGCAAGATGAAATGTAATAGGAAAAAACAGGTCTACATTTGGACCCCAAATCCAAAAGGACAAATACAGAATGGAGAAGACAAGGCTTAGCAGAGGGGAGGGACAGGGAAACACTTCGTGATATTGAGAGTCAGCTCATGATGAATCAATTACATACAAAGAATGTGGAGTGCCTGTCAAAACATAAATGTATCTAATGAGAGAGGTCACAATATTGCTATGTTTTAGTCATCCTACAAGGCTCAGAGTACAGACAAAAGGAAACCTGCTCAGAAGAGTAACCAGGGTCAAATGTAAAACAGTTAAAGAAACTTGATAGGCACAGGGGGAGCAGGTTTGGCCTGAGGTAGTAAGGTTCACAGGTTACAAGAAAGCTGTCTTTAAATATCTTGAGGTATTCTCATATGCAAGAAATATTAGATTTACTATAAGTAGAACTAGCACTAACAAGCAGAATTTACACAAAATAAATAGCATTCAAATATGATTGTGTGAGCTATTCAAGGACAGAACGAGCTGCATTTAGAGTTGAGTCTCCCTCAGTGGCCAGATGACAAATTGGCAGGAATGAAGCAGAGGGGAATAAAGCATCAGATGGCTGGTGAGACCAGGTGACCTTTAAAGTATCTTCCAATTCTAGTTCTATGATTCTATTTTTCTAGACTTTCTCTATGCTAAACCTTAAGCTCCAATCCAAATGGTTTTCTCACTGTTTCTGGAACAAGCTTTACATATGTACTTTCCCGTATCTACACTTACTTTCAGGCAATTTTCTCACTCAGGCAAAGACAAAGAATTTATCTTTCTAAATCTTATCCACCTATCAAGAATGAACCCAAATACTGCCCTTAATAAAGACTTCCATGCCTACCTTAATCTGATCTCTCTCTCTCCTCTGAATAATGAAACACTTCTAGGGCCATCCTTTTGGCAATTAATTACGTATCACCCTTAGACTTCTCATCTTACGTCTTAAACTGCTACTTAACTTTTTATTAATACGTTTTCTCTTCAACTAAATTAAAAGCTCCTTAAAGGCAGATCTGAAACTTATATTTTGCATTCCCTTTACATCTAGGAGAACACAGTAGATGCTCAAAAATAGTCACTGGTTTTCAATACTGGAAATATTTTTATTAGAATAGTCGTTTTTATAGGTAAATGGAAAATCTGTTCAACTCTAGATACTATCATATATGACTTCTAGCTCAGATACAGAACTATCAGAATGAGATGCTGCCACCCACTGATAACAAATTCTAACCAGAGAATTTTTTTAAATGGTCAATCAAGCTTGAAAAAGTTCCAGTTTTCCAACCTAAACATACAGCTTGATAAAGATGTCTTAAAACCTTTTTTGAGCAAAGTAAGATTAAAAGAACCAAACTAGAGAGTAAAATATGTTACAAACAAATAATATTTTTGAAAAAATCCTTTTTATTCCTTTTTATGTAAAATGTATTAATGTGTGGTATGTACACTAAAATTTTGATTCATATACCTTGGAACACAACTTAGGAAAAAATAAATGTGTCATATATATGTCATATGCAGCCCAGAACATATGCTTACTCCCTAAACAGCAACTAACAAATATAGGTCCTAGACAAAGTCAAAAGAGAATTCTTTATCACCTTAGATAAATTAATAAAGATTATTAAATACTTACTGAAGATTCTGGGTCTGACAATTCATCCAATAATTTCCTTGCATCCACTACAGCTTGATAGAGTCTCAGATTTTTGCCATCAGAAGCAACAAAGCAAGCACTTGCAGAATTGCAATATGTGCCTGAGAAAGGAAAACAAGGACTCTGGGTTCTAAACAAGTAGTTTATTTTTCTTATTGGCTAAAGGATAAGAAACAAGTATTCACATTTTTCTTTTTAGGCTTAACCATGGTCTAGAATCATAATTAAACAGGTACAATAAGTAGATACAAAATTATTAACAAAAAAATTTAATTTAAAAATGGATTGAGAAGGTTAAAAACTTCTAAAAAAAAGTTCTAAAAATAAGTTTCATGCCTGTATTCTGAATATTAAAAATCACCTTAATAATAAAACTGAATACTTACTAAAAATCATCTTAATAACAACAATATAAACCATTTTGTATATAACAAATAATAGTTTAAAAGCTTTTGTTAATTTCACAATTACAATGAACACTTACCTAGACAGTAACTGGGAATGAGAGTTGGAAGCCAAGCCACGTTAGAGAACGCTGAGGTATGTAAAGAGTTAATTCGAGCCAATTCTGATACTCCTCCGGTGTATGACAAAGGTCCTATTGGGTCTACACGCCACAGAATAAGTTCACTGTAGATCGCATTTGGGTCATGAAATGTACGAGTTGCTGCATTTCTAAGAGGCTGTTTTGAGGAACCTTTCATATGTTTTACAGGGTCCATTAATCTACTTAATTTATTGTCTGAGTCCCACTGATAATCTGATTCAGGAGTCAACAGAGCATTATGATGAGAGGATGTCAATAACAATGGCAAAACTGAATGACATGCCAGGTCATTGAGGTGAAATCGATGACCGCAATATCTAAATTTGTGAGATACAGTTAGAACAGTGGTAAAGGCAGACTTATCAGCAAAAGTGACTGCCCACTGATTTAAAGAACCATCTATGTGTTTAGAAATCATCATCACTGTGGGAGCTAAGATGTTCATATTTGTACTGTGTGATCTAGAGTGTGGCTGTGATCCGTGAGGACTGCCTATAGACATCCCCTCCTCGTGTAACAAGGTGTGGTCAGAATCTTTTGTCGCATTTATACAGGCATACATCATGATATTTTTACTAAGAGAGCTAGCATCACCAGAGGGAAATGCAACAGGAATCCGAGAAGAAAAAGAAACCTGAAAAACATAATTATATGATTCAGTACAAACAGTTTACCTCCTCTCAAAAAAAAGACTTCTCAAAATACCAAATCTCAGCTTCTTCTCAAAAAATGTCATTTTCAACCTCTTTATGGTTCAATCCCTTTCTTCGATTTACGTAATATCATATCTCTATTCGTGGCCTAAAAGAAGGCTGAAGAAAAAAAGTTCAGGTGCTTTGCTTGTACAACAAAATGACCACCAGCCACAGATCTAAATAGCAATAAAGTTGAGAGAGATGACAAGTAAAGGCAGCTTCGTTTAGCTCATCAAATTGGGCACAAGGATGAGCTCATCCTGATTCATATTTTCAGGGTAGTTTCTTAATCTTATTCAAAATATTATTAATTCCCCCCAAAATCAACACATATTTAAATATTCAGTATTGCATTTCAAGGCCAAATTCATTATCTTCTAACTAATCAAGTTTGCTAAGCTTATGGTCACTGATCCCTTCTGAAAGCAGTAAGTATTCTTTACTGAGATGCTTATCAAAACCAAAATTTTCAGTAATTCTACAAACATGCTGACTCTACAAAGCATTTATTTCTTTTTATTGTTTTAAGAAACGTAATAACTATTTCATCAATAAAATATACCTGGACTTGTCTAAATATTCCAGGATTATATTCATCCAAATACTTTACATGCCACACTAGAAAGGTACCATCTACAGGGTGTATTGTAAAAAGCATATCAGGATTCTTATTCCATTCAGTTAGCAGCGTTTCAATCTTCCGATCAAGCAGAACCGTAGGCAGTGGCATTGGTACACTAAGTCGTGAATAAGTTCTAGGACTTCCTTCTCTTTCTCCATCTTCATGTTCCGATGATCCTGTACCTGCCTCAGATTCTCTATCCAGGGATAAATCTGAACCAGAAAATATATTTATCAATACATGCATTAAGTAATTCATTTACATACTAGACTACAAATAAACGGCATACTATCTTTAAAAACTATAAATCTCTTTTCCAATTTACAGTTAGAAAAAAAAAGGAAACTTTTGTCTAAATTGAAAGTTACTATAGTTACTACTTTTAGATAAATTAAAACTTCATTCACCCTATCATTATTACTACCATTAGCAAAACCTGTTCCCCAGAAAAGGCTATGGCTTCCAAAGACTCAAAGAAATATGTTATAACAAAACATATAGTTAGATGATGTTTGCAGGACCTAGCAGAGTGCCTGATCCAAGGCAGATGGTCAGTAAATACTTGTGTAACAAATAGAGAAGTAAAAAGGAGGAAGAGCAGGAAGGAAGAATTCAAAACTAAAAGTGGTACCACAGAAGGCTGTTAACTTTGGAGTAAGAAAAACCTGAACACAGGATACTAACCATGGTCTAATTTCATATGTAAACCCCGTTCTCTATCCTCCTGTGAATGTTCCTCATCTTCTCTATCTGCATCATCACTTTCATGATCTACCTGCTTATCAGAAAGTTTTCGTAACTGATGCATAAATATTTCTGTAGATGACGTAAAATGAAATTCCTTGTTGTTTAACCAATGAACTACAAAGCCCCCATTTCCATCATCAACATTAAATGCAGTGCCAACCAAGACATTTGGAATATCTGTGGAAATAAAAAAGATTTTAATATAAATTTATTTCTTTAAAAACATGACAAGTGCTTACAATGAGTAATCTATGCAAAAAAAAGGTGCTAAACAAGTCAACATAATTTTAGCAGCATTTGTAAAAACGTTACCTGAATTTAATGGTAAATGTAAATCTTAAGAATGATAGATTTATATGAAATTAAACTATTAACTTAAAAACAAAATACACAAATGTATCAACCTTCAGTGAATTCTAGTTTGGGGACAGGAGATGAAAAATTAAAGCAGAAAAGCAGCCATAAAAGAGATAACTGGAGAAGTTTAAATATGAACTGCATATTAGATATTATGGAATTACTTATCATTTTCTTAGGTATGATGATGATATGATTATGTGAGAGAATTTTAGGAGATACTTGCTAATGTAAGGGTGATACACCATATTAGGCATAACTTATTTTGAAAAGACTAAGAAAACATTTCGACTGTGTGCTCATGCCTGTAATCCTAGCACTCTGGGAGGGAGAGGCGGGTGGATTGCCTGAGCTCAGGAGTTTGAGACCAGCGTGGGCAACACAGTGAAGCCCCATCTCTACTAAATACAAAATACAAAAAATTAGCCCAGCATGGAGGGGTGTGCCTGTAGTCCCAGCTACTTGGGAGGCTGAAGCAGGAGAATTGCTTGAACCCAGGAGGCAGAGGTTGCAATGAGTTCAGATCACTCCACTGTACTCCAGCCTGGGTGACAGAGCAACACTCCGTTTCCAAAAAAAAAAGAAAGAAAGAAAAAGAAAAGAAAACATTTCACACACATACACACAGAGACATTTGCCACACATAAAGCAACTGTGGCAAGATGTTAACAACTGTTGAATCAAAGTGAATAATATAAAAGTATTCACTGTACTATTCTTCCAACCTTTCTCAGTGTTTGAAACTTTACTAAAAACCTGTTGGGAAATAACATGAAGAAAAAACACAAGAAGGCAGGCAAAATTCTAAGTAAGAGAGAATTTCTCCATTTGAGGTAACTGAAATTTATGAAGTTGATGAGGTCATGTAAGACAGTATAAATTGGCCAGGGTAGTGGCTCGTGTCTGTAACACCAGCATTTTTGGAGGCCAAGGCAGGAGGATTGCTTGAACTTAGGAGTTTGAGACCAGCCTGGAAAACAGAGAGACACTGTCTCTACAAAAAATACAAAAATTAGCCAGGAGCAGTGGCACACACCTGTGGTTCCAGCTACTCAGGAGGCTGAAGTGGTAGGATTGCCTGAGCCCAAGAGATCAAGGCTGCACTCTAGCCTGGGTAAAAGAGCAAGACCCTGTCCCCCTCCGCCCAAAACATGGTGTAAATCAAAAACTTAATCTCCTTAATTTCAATCCATGTTATAAATAATTCATTCAACAGAAGGAAAAATTGTCCTTTGCAAAAAGAAGTGAAAATCTAAAGATAAAATGCATGGACATTCTGGTAATGTTCTATTATAATAAATATGAATGCTAAATAATGCTTTAAATTGTTCTTTCTTTCCAGTTCCTGGACGACCATCCTGGTTTTGTGATAAAAATGAAATAAATCATATAAAATAGGATTTGTGAATCAGCACTCCTATAAAACACTACATCACCTATGTGACTATGTAGTAATCTTGCTCAAAGTGTTAAACCTAAATCTTATGAACAAATATTCAGACTGTGAGACATTTTGAAAGAAAACTGAGAGACAACTTTTTGGGACTGACAGACTGTTTTTTTGATAGTTGAGAGAGGGACTGTTCAACATTGGAGGAATTTAAAGAAAATAATCTGCATTTAAGACAGGAATCTATATTTGCATATGAACTATATATTACATGATATTATTTTATCCATGTTCCTCACATGCAGTAACAGTATTAGAGTTATGGAAGCAAATTCCCTTTTTACTAAAAGATATATTCTTAAATATTTAGGAGGTGAAGGGTAATGTAATCAACAGCTTTACTTTCAAATAGTTCCGCCAAAAATAAGGGAGGAGGCAGCAAAGACGTATCTATAAAGGCAGAGAGGGGAGAACAAAAGAATAAATGACAAGATGTTAATATGTGGTAAATCTGAGTAAATGGTATATAGATATTTGCTGTACTATTTTTTCAACTTTCTTGTAGTTTCAAAAAATTTTTTGAAAAAAAGGTGAAGAGGACAAGTCCTAATGATATAAAATTATTTGCATTTAGTAATCTATTTGGTCAACTTAAATGTTATATTTACATGTAGTAACAAAATGCATGATGTTAAACATTTTTAAGAAAATTGTTTTTAAAATAATATGTAGGTAAGTTAGGATGAGCATGAATAAAATTAGTGATGGTTAGTAAAGAAGCTGGGGAAGACCAGGGCCCAGTGGCTGCAAGAACATATCCAGTCCTTAGGCTCAAATGATGTGACAGAATGCGCATCCTCTGTGATCCTATTCTATCTAATTAGGATAGTGTACACAGTTAAGAAGCCAAAGTTTCTAAAACGTATTGAATTTACTGCAGACTATCACAAGTTGCATTTTGTTTTGAAGTTAAATTTTTATCACAGTAATTCAAGAAAAGGTCCTTTTAAAAAGGTTAAAATTTCATAAAAATCTAAAACCATAAACATTTTGAAAACAAGTTAATGTATAAAGACATTCTTAGAATACAATTAAGATATTAGATCAGAACGGATAATATAAACAAAATAACATTTAATCAGATGGCAAAGCACTGTCCAATAGAAATATAATGCAGACCAAAAATGCAAGACATGTTAAGCAATTTTAGATATTTCAGTAGCCATGTTTCAGAAGGTAAAATGAAACAGGTAATATTAATTTTAATAATATACTTTATTTGACTCAACATATACAAAACAGTATTTCAACAAGTAATCAACATGAAATAAAATTATTAATGAAATAGTTTTCATTATTTTTTATACTAAGTCTTGGAAATTCAGTGTGTATTTTACAGCATATCTCAGTTTGGACCAGCCACATTTCAAGTGCTCGAACAGCTAATACGGGGCTAGTGGCTACTCTATAAAACAACACATACCTAGAGTCACCACTGAAGATCACCCTTTTAGAATTCTATTTACTAAATACTGTATTTACATACAGAAACATTTAAAACTAAAAGCCCCTTCACTCTGAGGCAACAGACCTCCAGTTCAATAACATATAACTATAATTTTATATAAAACTTTATATAGTTCTGAGCAATGTAATATAAAATTTATAGCCTTTCTCATAAATTTCCATGCAGAAGGAAAACATATTGCCTTTAAAATAGAAGCTCACAAATATGTGTGCCAACAAAGAACCTGCCTCAAAATACTTCTCAGCCACATAGGGGAAAAAGGGAAAAGAAAATATTCAAGTTAGAAGGAATAATGTTTTCCTTAGTATAGGACAAGAAAGTCTACAAGGGTAGAAAACAAGATATGCTGAGATATAAGAAAAACTTTATAAAAATATATTTAGAGGAGGTTATAAAGAAGAGTTGGGAAGATTTAAACTGTAAAGTGAGGGAAATTACACTAATTTGCCAGGCTGCCACCACTTGTGACATCAGGTTCAGTTAAAGCTCTAATTTACTGGGAAACCTTGTTATAGACTAGACAAAGATGCTCAGAAATAGTTACTGAAGTTAACACCCTGAGAATCACATAGTCCCACTTCAAAAAACGGTACTCTATATTGTATCTCTATTCCAATTAAGTATTTTAAAGGCAACATGAAATAATAAAATAAAAAATAGGTTATAAAAGTAGTTCCACTTTTCTATTTATTTACCTGACTTCAACATATTTATGGGAAATAAAACTTTATCCTTTACCTGTGGCAGGGTTGATGCTTGCTGCAATATGAAAATGACAGAGTGCATTTGCATGGTGGGAAATGTGTCTTTGAACTTCATGCATTGCTGTCTGGTCGGGCATTAATTCAGCATGAGTTACAAGAACAGATGACCTCCTCTGTCCTTTCCTTAAATTTTTCAAATGGTGTATTGTCTAAAATAGAAAAATAGCTGCTGAGCCCAAGTCTTGAAGGTCTAATAAACGCCAACCAAAATACTCTTAATTATTAAAAGGTTTCAGATTTTTTTCTCCATAAAACCCTGATCATTTTAAAGGGAACTTTTTAAATTACAGTAGAACTATTTTGGATGTATTCTCTAGAGTTCTTGTAAACTTTTAGTTCGAGGCAAAAAGTAGTGTGCAAAAATACGTATTCATGTTATCTACAAAACATGAATAAAAATTCCCGTTAATATTAGAAGGTCCAAAGATTTTTTTTTTCCAGGATATCCTAGCACTGAGACAGAATTTTCTAGTCATAAGAGTAAAAAAAAATTCCTGAGTCTTCCTACCAGGAAGAATATTGCTTCCCCAATATTGCCTCTCACTTAGAATGAAACAGTCAGCTAAATAATCAAATTCATGATATCGATTATAAAGAAAAAAACAGGGTATGAAAATACAGAATAACAAGGGGAACCTACCCAGATAGGAGTAGACAAGGAAAGACCTCATTAAAGTGTTGACCTTTAATTTGTTTAAATTGTTTTAAACAATTTGCAAATTGGATCTGTTTAAATTGAGATAAATCTATATGATTGAAATTCTTCATTAGCATGCGTGATCATGTGGACTATTTTAGACATGGGGCCATGTCATCCTTGGCATTATCTTTTTTCTCCATGTCATGGCCCCACCTCGCAGTAATTCCTTATTCTGTAACTTAACCCACTCCCAAGACCATGTTTCATAATAATTTTCTATTCTTTTCCTTTGTTCTCCACATTCAATTAAATAAAGTATAAAACGTTATCAATTCTTTCTTCATTAAAGTAACATATCTGGTATATCCTCTCAATTTCTACAGCCCTTCTCATTTTACCTATGGAAAATAGTATCAGGTCAATGGTGTGTCCCCCACCTCTGGTCTCCCACTACGGAGTTGTTTATTGCTTTGATAACAGGGTTAAGATGGACATTAGAGACCCCCTGGTCCAAACTGCCTATCAAATTATTTTTACTGGATCTTTGACATTTACCATTATTTTAAATTAGACTGACAAGACTGATCTAATACTGGCTATTTTCTCCTAGAAACAAAAAATATAACTTAAGAATATATACAATTATATAGACCTAACAGTTAGGAGTTCCATAGGAAACGATAGGATGTCAGAAAGCAAAGTGACTTGTAAGTCAGACACTTATGCTTTTTCTTTTAAAAACTATCTTAACATATTAATAATATTACTAAAAGACAGTAAAAACTTGTCAAATCACTGGTTACATGTTTACTCATATTTCTGTTCTATTTCACATGGCAATAATTCAATTTAACAAACACTTGAAAAGCAATATATCAGGTACTATGGAGGATACAAAGATGTCTAAAAGCCCTTAGTTTCCAAAGGCTCATATATAATTTGAAGATAAAATACGTTACATAAGTATAAGTAAATGATCATAAATATCTAGTTAAAAATTAAGTACTTCGTCCTACTAAATATCATTATCAAAATAAAAGATAACTGTTTTGACGTCTGCTTTTAATTTCACTTACATTTTAAATATTGAATAAAATGTAAAAATAGCGCCCAATCACAGGCAGTGATATAGTTTGGATACTTGACCCTGCCTAAATCTCATGTTGAATTGTAATCCCCATTGCTGGAGGTAGAGCCTGGTGGGAAATGTTTGGGTCACGAGGCGGATCCCTCATGGCTTGGTGTTGGTATTGTCTTTGCAATAGCGAGTGAATGGTCATTTAAAAGTTGGTGGCACCTCCCCGCAACTCTTTCTTGCTCCTGCTTTTATACCATGTGATGTGCTGGCTCCTGCTTCAACTTCTACCATGGGTAAAAGCTCCCTGTGGCCTCCCTAGAAGCCAACCAGATTCTGGTGCCATGCTTCCTATAGAACCAAGAGGCAATTAAACCTCTTTTCATTATAAATCACCCAGTTTCAGGCGTTTCTTCATAGCAGTGCAAGAATGGCCTAATATAGACAATATCTGAGGACGCCTGCTTCATACAAAACTTTTAAGGACCACATCCTTAACCTGTCAAAGTTGTACAATATTTCTGCTTGGTAAAATGGCAAAGCCACTTTGACTATGCAAGCTTTAAACTGTTAATGTAAATATATAAAGTAAAAGTATAGTCAATAATGTAGAGTGTAACAAATTAAGTATAAAAAGTTATAAAATATTACTGCATAATATGATCTCAATCTTATAAAGAAAAATACACATATTCACATGACTAGAGTAGTTGAATTATAAATTCCATTATTTCTTCTCCTTTTCTTAATTCAATTCTAGCATACATTATTTGAATAAAAAAGTCACAAGAAAAATAGTAAACTAAGTTTACTATAATACATTTCTGACAATTTAAAATATGCATATATCTCATTGTATTACCTAATCATATGGGACACAATCATTTGTGCTATATGTTATAATCTAATTTCTTATAAAGCACTTTTATTTCATACTGTATTTAAAAATTAGAAAAATTATTTCATTTTCAAAATATTCAATCATGGAAACTCCAAAGAAGTTCAGTTGTGTCTAATATCTTAATAAACATCTTTATTCTTAAGGAACAAAATAGTCATTTTTAACTAGAACAATAAAATTTTAATCTTTATGAAACAAAAGCAAAATATTTTTAATTACAACTAATTTCAAGGACCTTTACATATTTTACTCTTACTCCTATACATTTTCACATCTGACATGCAAAAGAATTAAAATAATATTATCTAGAACTTGAGCATAAAATATCAATTTTTAAAAAATTGTTAATAATATCTACCTATACAACATGTCTGAGATCATTAATTTCTGCATTTGGCTTCTTAGTGGAATAAATAAGTAGTCTTACAAGCATAAATGAGAGTTTATTGCTATTAACTTTACTCATTACATGTACCATGTGTGCCATCTGCATATTAGTTTATAAATTTCCACCAGGCTCACATTATCTTCAAAATTCATTTACCATTTTAAATAATATAATACCTCAAGAGCATGCTGTATTCTGTCTTTGTGTCTTCCAGCATGAGAAAGGTTGCTGGCAATGCTGGAAGTGGTAGTCTCACAAATCTGCTCACCCAAAAGACAGTCTTCTGGTAATAAAGTTTCTGCCCAGAGCCGGCACACACCATCATGACACGAAGTTAATAACACATTACAGACAGAACCCCTAACAACAAAGAGAAATAAATAGAGGTTAACGTGAATATCAATCCCATCAATTAATTAATATTTTGGTTCTTCATGCATAAAGTTAACATTAGAGCAAAACACGATGGAAAAAAGTAATCAATCAAAGACCTTGAAATCATATACAGTATCACTGTGAACATCATAAGAACCGGGAAATTGTTTTGAAAAAAGAACTAGAAATTACTGTTAGATTATACATTCAGGTTCTAGAGGATTATTAGTATCTCCTAAACAAAATATACAAACTAAACAGCAAAAGAAAACCTAATCATTGCAAATTACAAAATGACCATAATAAAAGATCATTAAATGTAATTAAACTATCTGGCTTATGGCAGTAGTTTCACTTTACATCATCCTTCCTATAACCCAAACAGTTACAAATAAATAATTATCTTCATCATAAAACTGTAAGGAGAATATCATTTCAAACTATAAATCCATTTCCATTAAGTAAAAATAAGCAAAAATGGCATGGCATGGAGCAACGAAAGTAACTTACCTCTTGGTTACAAAGGAACAAAAAAATCATTCTCCCTTTAAAAAAAGGCTCATATAGAATCTAAGTCAAAAGTATTCTGCAAATAGATGCAGATGACTTAAGTAGAATAGACTTTTTATTTAGATTCAAAAAGTATATAAATTTCCCATGTTATCATTTACTGAGTATCTCTACAATGTATGCTATATTTCCTATCAGGCATAAACAATCCTCAGATATATTTAGTAGGCGAAATAACCCTCCCTCAAGAACAAACTAGATTTCTAAGCAAGCTTCTGAGTGCCCAACAGCTTTCTAGACCTGTATAAAATAATCATTTGTATAAGCTGTTTTGCAGTTTATTTAATCTTCTAAATACCTTTAAGAGGTGCCACAACGATGAGGAAAAAATGTATAATAAAAAATTATTTGAGAAACTTCTGTTGACAGCCCTCAGATTAAAAAAAAAATAAAAAGTACAACCTGGCCACTTTCTTCAGACTACATTATATGCTTTAACACCATATATATAATTGACAGTTTTATACTGATATATTTCCCTTCAGTATGTGCTTTCCTGTTATTTGCAAACATTTTCTTGCTAGGATCTGCTAGTACCACAGCTACTACTAACAATTTCATTGCCTGGACACAAAGTATGTGCAAAGGCCTGTACTAAGCACTTCCCACCAACAAACTACATTTTAGTTTCACAACAACTCTCGGAGGTAGGTACTATTACTACCCTCATTCTACAGAGAAAAACTGAGGCATAGACAGCTTAAGAAATTTAGTCAAAAACTCATGAAGCTAACAGGATTTGATTTCAGGCAGCTTGATGCCACAGCCTATGCTATTAATTGCCACCGTGTAAATAAACTAAAAGGACTTTACTTTCATTATTTTTATAAACATAAAAGGATACAAACTAAAGTTGTATGATTCATTCATCTAACCTGGGCATATACTTGCTAGTTTTACGCCATGAAAAACCTGTCACAGCTCGGGGATGTGCCAAGTAAACAAAGGAAAATTGAGTAGAGGACTGTCTCCTTTTCACTTCATGATGATCCTGAGGTATAATTGAAGACTTCCAACCAGTCATAGGATACCACACTTTCAAAAGACAATCATCCTGAAAAATATATAGGTCAATATAATTTGTACATACACAATTCAAAATTTAAGTGGTTTGAAGAGGTTTTAAAAATTAAGCTATATATCTAAAAACTAAAAAGTGACTTATACATAATACAAAACTTATCTTAAAATTACGTTTATTAAAGAATACTATTCTTGAAAAATAAATGAACCTATTCATTATCAATCTTTTCTGTGTGATAGTGTTTTTCAAATGCAGACTGATGCCAAATTTCCCCATTTAGACATAAATTGGTCAGTGCAGAGAAAAGATTCTGATGCCAGCCCCTTGGATAAGTTAGTTAAGAAAGAATTAGAAAGATTCATGCTATCTTTTCAGTAATTGTTAACCCTTCCTTTTTGAAGTAGTCTATCACAGTGAAACCCTTCACCCTTCACCTCATGAATATGAATTGTTTCTTGCTCTAAATCAGGAGTCAGCAAACTTTTCTGCAAAGGGCCAGATGGTAAGTAAGTTAGGCTTTGTGGGCTACACATGTCTATGACAGAGATTCTTCTTTTTTTCTTACAACCCTTTAAAAAGGTAAAAAAAAAAAAAAACTTTCTTAGCTCTTGGACCACAGTTCTGCGATCTCTAAGTGATGAGAAAGCATGCAGGTAGCTGTCAGGAACCACCTCTATGTCCACTTAAAATATTTACAAGTATAACAATAGGCACTGACTTAATCATTTTACCTAGTTCTAACAATTTAGTTAAAGGCTAAATAATTGTATTTTAACAAACTATCTTTTATAGTGCTTTATAATCAATAATAAAACTGCATTAAAGGGAAATAATAAATATTATCACTTATGCAAAAATATAACCTCTGAGAAATTTTGAAATTATGTATTCCTGAAAAGTATGCATTGGTGCAAATATTTTCATCTCGACTAGACAGACAATTCTGTTTTTTCCATCTTGGTACTCATTCTCAATTTATGCTACATAATGAAACATACATTTCCATTAATGTCTCATTTTTTGGATATTTTAATTATACAGCAAATCTTTTAAGTGCTTGCCCTCAGACAACCACTTAACAATGTACTAGTTGCTTTCCTCCAAGTATCTTCTTCAGCATAGCATCATTTTCACATAATCAAATTTACAGCACATTCTATGCAGTGGTTTCAGACTATGTAACACAGAAATTCTAGAAGTATCTGAGAGCCCCTCAAAAGTCACAATGAAAATACAAAGAGCCCCACGAGCAGGTGATACTCTAGCCCTTCTCCCACTCCCACCAAGCTCCCCCTCAAATGAAGCAGTCCCTCTTTCATCTGTTATTGTCTACAACTGTAAAACCACAACAAAATTAATCACTGATAACAGAAAGATATCTAGAAAATTCCCAAATATTTGAAAACTAAAAACTTCAAAATTACAGGGGAAATTTTTAAATACGTTGAAAATATGAATGAAAATGAAAGTACAACATATCAAAATGAGAGAGTAGTAGTTACCTGAGTGCATGGGGGAAACTCCTAGCTTTTTTTTTTTAAAGTTCACTTTCGTTTAGTGTTTTTGTGTTATTTATTTATTTAATTTCCATAGGTTTTGGGGGAACAGGTGGTGTTTGGTTACATGAATAAGTTCTTTAGTGGTGATTTGTGGGATTTTGGTGCACCCATCACCCAAGCAGTATACATTGTACCCAATTTGTAGTATTTTATCCCTCACCCTCCTCCCACCCTTCCTCCCTAGTCCCCAAAGTCCACTGTATCATTCTTATGCCTCTGCATCCTCATAGCTTAGCTCCCACTTATGAGTGAGAATATACAATGTTTGGTTTTCCATTCCTGAGTTACTTTACTTAGAATAATGGTCTCCAATTCAATCCAGGTTGCTGCGAATGTCATTATTGCATTCCTTTTTATGGCTAAATAGCATTCCATGGTGTGTGGGTGTGTGTGTGTATGTGTATATATATATGTGTATATATCACAATTTCTTTATCCACTCATTGATGGGTATTTGGGCTGGTTCTATATTTTTGCAGCTGCAAATCGTACTGCTATAAACACGCGTGTGCAAGTATCTGTTTCATATAATGACTTCTTTTCCTCTGGATAGATACCCAGTAGTGGAGAGCTGGATCAAATGGTAGTTCTACTTTTGTTCTTTAAGGAATTTCCACACTGTTTTCCATAGTGGTTATACTAGTTTACATTCCTAACATCAGTGTAAAAATGTTCCTTTTATATCGCATCCCCACCAACATCTATTATTTCTTGGTTTTTTGGTTATGGCCATTCTTGCAGGAGTAAGGTGGTATTGCATTGCAGTTTTGGTTTGCATTTCCCTGATCATTAGTAATGCTGAGCATTTTTTCATATGTTTGTTGGCCATTTGTATATTTTCCTTGCAGAATTGTCTACTGATGTCTTCAGTCCATTTTCTGATGGGATTGTTTGGTTTTTTCTTGCTAATTTGTTTGAGTTCCTTATAGATTCTGGATATTAGTCCTTTGTCGGATGTATAGATTGTGAAGACTTTCTCCCACTCTGTGGATTCTCTGTTTACTCTGCTGTTTCATTTACTATGCAAAAACTTCAGGAAAGGATATGACCAAAAAAAAGAAACCACAGACCAATATCCCTGATGAATATAGATGCAAAAATCCTTAACAAAATACTAGCTAACCGAATCCAACAGCATATCAAAAAGATTATCTACCATGATCAAGTAAGTTTCATACGAGGGTTGCAGGGATGGTTTAACATTCGTAAGTCAATACATATGACACACCACATAAACAGAATTAGAAACAAAATCACATGGTCATCTCAACAGATGCAGAAAAAGCACTTAACAAAATCCAGCATCCCTTTATCATTACAACCCTCAGCAAAATCAGCATACAAGGGACAACCCTTCCCCTCAAGAAATCTTCTCAACCTAGCCCTTGAAAAACCCAGTTTTTCACTCAAAGGCATAATCTTCTCTCAAAGAAAATGCTGCATTTTTAATTATAAATTGACAGCTTATAATTGTATAAATTTACGGAGTATGAAGTGATGTTATAATTCACAAATATAACACAATAATTACATCAAGCTAATTAACATATCCATCACCTCAAACACTTAACATTTTTTATGGTGAGAAGACTTGAAATTTACTCTTAGCAATTTAAAAATATACAATATTCTATTACTAACTATATTCACCATACTTCACAAAAGAACTCAAAAGAAGAAAAGATATATTCCGTTTTTTGAAGAAAACAGGATACTTTAAATTACTTGCAAATTTTACAAAATAACCAAGTGTCATTTTTTAAAGTGTTCCAATACAAACTTTTTGAACATAAATAAAATTTCAGCAAACATCTCCTAGTAAGCAAACCAGAGAAAACCAATTCTTGAACTAAAGATTTAATCAGGTATGTCTTGTGGGAGAAAAAAGGCTCTTTAGTAAGTAAGGTTTTATTTTAAGCTCAGATAGAAATTTAAAATACTCTTAAGCCTAAGAAAAATTTAATTTACCACATTTATAAAAAATAGATCTTACCAGCCAAAGTCCTCAATGAACTGTAATATTAAAAATCCTGGAAGTAATTGAATTTGAGTCTCACAACACCTGAAATAAAATCCTGTCATGTGTAGCAGAGGCGGTGGAAAATGCCTTCTAGTGGGAGATCCACACAGTGACCATCTGTTTTATCAACTCAAATCTGGCTTTATTAACAGAAGCAGAACAAATTGTACCAAAAAAAAAAAACTGCCCAACATTCCAAAGTTACTTTCTGTTCTTTTTATCAGGATAATCTTAATCAGATGTGGTATATTCTCAAAAATGTGAGAAAATAGTTTTTTTAATTCAAGACACATTTGCTCAACCTCCATAGGATCCTCACCAGAAAAGTATTCTTATCTTTCCATAAGAATTATGAAACACTTAACTCTTAGGATAACTGAATATAAACAGCTTAGGGAGACATGGCTAACACAATGAAAAAAACACTCATCTAGAAAATAAAATTTTTGTGGACATTTTGACAGTCCATATGTCTCTTTTAGGGAAGGGTAGGCATCCTGTAGTTTGTATCAAGCTACTATTCTTAATTCAATCTAATTACATATATTTTAATATTTTTCGTAAGAACCAATTATTATACATTTTATTATGTCCAGATACAGATTAATTAAAGAGCCAAATTTCACTCTAAGCAAACTCAATGGTTTTCCAACCATTCTCAGGATTAAAAACAAAATCAGTCCTCAACATACTAATAGATAATGATGATATGCCATAAACTGCCTGTACAACTATGAAACAGTTACAAGATTCACTCAAACAGCAAGTATTTATTGAACGAAGCTACTGTGTGAATGGCTGGGGATATAGCTGGGGCAGAGAAAGACACGGAAATAATAAAATATATTTCCTCATCCCACAGAGCTTATTCTCTAGAAAGGAAGGCAACATTAAGTAAGGATATAAATTATTGTTTTAATTACAATTGTGATAAGCACTATAAGAAAGAAGCAGAGGGCACCAGGAAAGTATTTAATTAGGAGACTTGACCTTGCCTGGGAGATAAGAGGTTTCCTTAAGGAAGTGGTATTTAAACTGAGAGTTGAAGGATACATAAAAGATGACCAGGCAAAGAAGCAGGAAGGCTGGGTATTCTAGGTATTCCCTAAACATAGAGAACAACACATAAAAAGACCTGGAAGCAGGAAAGAGCCTGGCATATTCAAGGCCTTGAAAGGACATCAGTGTGGTAGGCATTAAGGTGGGAATGAAGCTGGAGAGGCACAAAAGGGTCAGATCATACAGCAGAGCCTCACAGGCCATGGTAAAGATCATAATCTTCATTTTAAGAGCAACAGGAGTCATTAAAGGGTGGTGAAAAAGGAAAATGGCATGTTCAGGTGGCCGGCTCCTGTGGGCAGACCGATCAGAGGACGTCTGCAGGACATCACTTAAGGGACTACTATAAAGGTCCGCAGCCCCGAAGATGCTGACACAGGCAGTGGCAGTAG